ATGAAGACTAAAGTAAAGATCTAATCAAATAAGCACCATTGCTCTCTTGAAGATGTGTTTGCAACTCCCAAAGGCCTTCCATGACAAACCTGGAGGACAAGGTTACAGAAAACAGAAACGCTCCTTTTATTCTAATAGCTTTAATTATCCATTCCTAAATCCAATTAAAGCTGTATTGTTTTACAAAGTGAGTCCTTCATTCAACATGACTTTCATGCCAACAGTTAATGTGTCAGTGCTTTTCTGGCTCTACACAGCTTCTGTCCATGTTGCAACCTGTCTGTGTCATGTGTGATTCATGCTGGATTCATGACCAAGACAGGATTGTGTAAACCAGAAAAACAGCTGAGGCAAACGTCATGTCACATRTCACAAGGCTGTCTTTGTGTCATGCATACCACCTCTCATCTGAACCTTGCCACAAACTTATTTTATTCTTGTTCTTATTTAAATTATTTCATGTTGCCAAATGAGATTATATAATTTTGCGTAAATGTCAATAATCAAAACTTGTTTCGCATCGATGTGTTCATATTAACATACGACTTGCTACTATATCAACCAATAGTCTTGGCAGGCTGCAGAAAAGAGGTTACGCCCAGGATGTGTTTTGGATTTGGTTGCCAACTGGAGCRTGAGAAATATTAAGTGTAAAATCAGCACGTATGCACGTTTGATCGGTCTGTCTAAAATATTAAACCCGACCCAGTCTGATCCTTTACACACCATTTGTAATTATATTGCAAATATGTTCAATCAGCATAGATTAGACAGAAGACACATGTGAAGACATGACTTATCCAACATGCAAAAAACCCTCCAAACATTATTTGCTTGTTGCCTTGAGAAGTGGGAACACAAAGAGAAACCACAAGTTGCTCTACCTGCTGAGAAATCTCACTGACTTGCAGAAGTCATCTAAGGAGAAATGGGTGTCATCTCGTTAAGGTCAGACAGACAGTGGGATGGTTTTAGAAAGAAATTCCACAGATATAAACTTCAAATAAGTTCAAGTTCAAGATCTTTATTATCCCCAAGGGGCAATTTGTTGTACAGCCAATAGACATAAAAACAACTAAACAAAAACATAAATAAAATAAGTAAATAAGATGTGACGACTGTTGAGTGTTAGCTCTGAGAGCGATTTGAACTCTGAATGGTGTATTCATACAAGCACCAAAACCAGTTTTTTCAGCTATGGCAAATTTTCTCATTTTGTAGAATTGCTATAAATGAGAAAGAATAAGGTAAAAACTAGAATAGATACACTTTGTGATCATAGTGACAAATCATCTACATGGTAAAACATGTACAAAAACAATGTACATGTCATATTTGTAAAGCCCCTTTCACACTGGATTAAGACCCCTCAAGGCAGTCTACAGCTTATTAAAATGTGGCTAAATTACAGCACTGAGGAAAAACCTCTTCAAAAGATGCTGCTGCACTCTTAACATTTGCCAAATAACAATATCAGCTCTTTTGTAACCACTTCAAGCTCTCAGCAGCACATTTTCATGAGGATCATACCAAAGAACTCCATGACATCACTATGCCCACAGTTCCATCCTGGCATGACTCTGACTGTATCRGGATGGTGCTACGAACAACAGCATGCTAAGCTAGAACAAAGCTGGTGGCAGGGATGAGATTACAACCCAGGCATGAGACCATCATGAGCAACACTACAGTCCTCTTTAGCCTGGATGATGAAGCACTAAGAATAAAACTAAGGAGATCAATCAGAACATGGGTGGTCTCTGCAGGGTCTTGGCAGGGTTTTCAAGCTCTATTAAGAACACAGTGGGCTCTCCATTGTAGCATGATAAAGTCACATTTGTTTTGAGCATGCCCAAAACTTTCAGTGAAGTTAAGTGTTGTCCTGGTAGAAGCATATTAAAGTGGCAGTAGAGCATGGTTTGCAGTTGATATGCAGTTCTTATACACTTGGCACAAAAAKWAAGTAAATTTGTGTCTAGATTATTCCTTTGTTTTATCAATGAGTCTTGACAACAAGTTTTATACCATTAATCTGTTAATTTCCCTTTTAAATGGTGCCACGTTTGTAAGGAACATGCATTTGTAGTTTGAGTAGAGCTGAGTATGTGGGTTGTGCACATGAAAAAATGGCCAAATCTCTGCCAAACAGTTTATTTTGCTGTTGTTATTGACACTTGTTTTGAGCTTCTGGAACCCCCAGGTGCTGCCAATCAGGTGCCCGGTAAAAGACTTATTGCAAAGAAGCAGTGTTACAACAAAGAAATAAATCTATCAAACATAAATTTCTTTAGGTTTTTTTTGCTAAGTATATAAAGCTCCCCTCGTTTCTGTTATTCTCTGCTTCAACACTGTTTTGTATGTTTAGTCTGTTTTTGCTGCCCTGTCTTTTTTATTTGAGTAATTACCCATTTAGTTCCATCTGAATTAATTGTCAACACATTGAATCCTCTTGGGTTTCCACACAATCCTCACTATTTAAAACCAGGTTCAGTAGCTGCAAAAACAATATAAGAGGGTGTTTGACATAATATAATGTGTATATCCTACTTTGATCACTAGAACATCTTTCAACACCCTGTTGTRTCAGGATGCTATAGCTCCACAACTGTTGTTGACAAAAGCTGCATCTCCCCTACGATGAACTTGGACTCACTTCTAGTTTCCATCAGTGAGGTGTGCACGATGTGGCTTCTGTGAGCAGCAGCAACCAGACAGAACTGTTGCCTCATACGACAAATCTGCATGGTGACAATAGTACGCCACATTTTTGTGACATACTGAAGTAAATGCAGAAGCTAATGTCCAACTCATTGCAAGCCTATAGAGACATTGACACGAGGGCCGTCAGTCCACAAAAAAAGTTACTTGAGTGGCACCAGTGCCACAAAACGTGTGAAATTGTGTCGAGCAGACCCATTGATAAACTCGAGGAGGGAGAGCACCCATGCTGACTTTCCAAAAGTGGAAATGAAAGATTATCCTTCCACAATAACCTCTTCCACCTCCTCCACCCCCACAGTCTGTCTGCTGACCACAGTCCCTTAAAGAGAGGTTTACAGTAACTGTGTTTATCGCCTTCATTATTTATTATTTTGTTAGGATTTCACCATATAATGCTTTAAACAATGTGCCTTCGAAAAAGACCAGGATTATGTATTGTGCATCAGGGGTACAGAAAGGAAAAAAATAATGACTATAATAACTTTTATTTTTAACTGAATTTTTTTTGGAAATGTCATATCCTCCACAGCTAAGCCAAACCAGCAGGTGTGCTGCATGCCCCACATCATGCATCAGCTCTCACCACAATCCGCCACACCGAGGCTCAATACGCTGCCATCAGGGCAATAAACCATGAYATCCCCACTACAGAAATTTTGTGAATGCTCAAAACTATCCTTATTCTATGTATCATGTGGAATGGGGACCACTGTCTTTTTAATGCATACCTAAATACCCTGTCAAAACTCTGTTCTGGTTTTTGTCATCAAATATTTATCTGGCAGGAAGGAGACCTAAGAATAAAAGTGCAGGGAATTCAATAAAATAGGGCATACTTTTTTGTGTATAGATTTGTTTTCTAACTAAAAAGGACAATATGACAATTTTCATTTAGACCAGTGATTCCCAAATTTTTCAGTTTTTGACCCATAACAACAGTAGAGACCTGTGCCCCCAACTAGTTTTGGGTCATAAACATTGGTCAGATGATCAAATGTGCATTAAACATATCCATTATGCTAATTTCATGCATTTTTAAGTAGCTTTAGGTAACTTTTGTACAAAGCAAATAACAAAAATGTTCTTGGTTGTTAAATTAAAAGTAATTACAGTAAATCTGAAAATCTATTCAAGACCTCCAGCTTAGTGTTTCAGAACCTATAGTGGGATGCCAAACTATTACATTACATGYGAACACTGATTTAGACTGACATCTTCAATTTATTTCTCACGGATTCAATGCTTGAATAAAAGGCCTAATATCACAAGTTGTCTTCCATGCTGGAGCTTTAGATTAACTTGTGTTGATAAGATGGAGCTGTAGCTGTTTCAGTTAAAATTAGAAAACATATACCTTATACAACACATAGCACTTGAAGCATGTGTTGTGAACGAGTCTCATCAACAACAACAAAAGTCATAATAACCATGATTTGATGTTAAACTTAATTTACAACTATACTTAACACAACAAGTAAGGAAACGTGTAATAATGCTTTTGTTCTAGGCAATAAATCATATACCAATGGAAATCGCATTAATTTCCCTTTTAAATGGTGCCACATTTGTAAGAAAMATGCATTTGTAGGGCTGAGGGTTGCGCACATGAAAATTTGCTAAATCCTCTCTGCCAAACAGCTTATTTTGCCGTTATTGACACTTGTTCTGAGCTTCTGGTGCCCCCAGGTGCTGTCAGTCAGGTGCCTATAAGATTTATTGTGAAGAACCATACAGCAAATAAATATTCAACCAAACACTAATCTACTTGCTTTTTGTGCTAAGTTCATTTTTGCTGCACCCCTAAAGACCAGAACTGATGATTTCTCTTTATTTCAGCAGATGACAGAAAGCCATTTAATCTTAAAGCAGGTACATTAAAAAAACAACAACTTCTGAACCTTATTTTTTGGAACTGCACACTTTTGATTTAAAGCTATCATGGGTTTAAACAATACAAGAAAGAGATTACGAGTAAAAGTAAATTATATAAAATAGTCTGTGAATCCACTAAACCTAGGATAAATGAAAACAATTTGCCACAAAAAAGTACAAATATTTACTGCAAAGTTAAAGTAATGAACCAGCATGTCCACGTGCACATTGTTCAAATTAATTCCGCCTAAAATCAAGCCGAGCAGCAACCAGCAGAACTTGAAGAGGCTCCGATCTGAAGGACACAAGTGGTTCTTCTGGATCACAACATCAGCACCAGCATGCAGCCGGACGGACAAACTTCCACTCACTTCTATGCAAAACATGCAGGCAAATAAATGTCTTACCTCGCTCCTCGGGGCCATCGCGTTCGGTCGAGCCCCCGACTGGCTCATCTTGTCGCTTCATTGGCGCTAACGAGATACGCTGGGGGGTTACAGAGACCCCCACCAGATCTACAGAGCCGTGGCTCCCTGCAGCAGCAGCAGCATCTGCTGCTCACAGCCGCCTGAGCTGCTGTTGCGTGGAAACGCTGCTCAGWGAGCTTTCCATCTCTGCAGGAATCTGACCACTGCTGTCGATTTTCTGCACAGCAAAGGAATTAATCTTCCCCACCACCAAAATATATATTATATAGGCTAGT